GGAAGGACACCGTGGTCGGTGGCAGGACCGCAGCAGTGGGGGTGGTCCCTGCCATGGAGGGCCCCGTGGTTTTAGCGGGGCCCTTCCCCTTCTTCTTGCCCTGGCCTTTCCCACCGGCTGTGGGGCTTCCCTAGAGTCTGGGGAGGCGATGGGCATGGCAGCGGCGGAGGTCACCCCGGTGCCCTCCATTGCCGATGCCCCAGCGGGGGGGGCGGTGGCAGGTGGTTAACAGGAGTTGAGGTCAGGTAGAAAGGGACAAGCTGTGGGGTGGACAATTCGGGGGGGGGGCACATGAACCACCGTACGCTTGTCCAGAGAGTCCTGTTTGGTTGGCTGGTGCTTCTGGCCCACGCAGTGGAATCAGGGCGAGCAGCTGAGTCCAGAGGCAGATGTTAGACAGCCAGCAAAGACGGTGGAGTGCGGTGGTGGAGTGTGGGGGGCTGAAGATCATAGTGTGGGGGTTGGGAGGACACAGATGGATCGGGGGGTAGCTCCGTGCCACACCCCCTGTGTTCCTACACGATTAAGACACAGTCAAGAGCACAGTTCGAAAGTTACTCAGTCTTAGGCCCCCTCCACTGCGATTTGTAGATTTCCCAGGCGGTGCTCCTCCGGTGGATGGCTTTTTCTCTGTCTGTTCCGGGCTTTCTTTTTTACAGCAGCAGCATTCCAGAAATGCCAGAGCAAGTGATAAGAGGAGTGTGAGGAGTTGGGAGCAAGAGGCACTAGGAGCTGAGAGTGAGAACGCGGACTGTTGGAGGACTGAGGTGTACAAGCATGATCAGACACCAGGAGGAAGGTCCTATGGTGAGGATAAAGAAGGTGTTGGGTGGAGGCCATGGGGAAGTAGCCCAGAGAGTTGCAGCTGTCGCACAGCTGTTCCAGGAGGCACTCGAGACAGCTGCATTCCACAGGGCCCTGGGCTGGAACCCGGAGTAGGGGGCAGGCCAGGTTTCTACCAAATCCTCCCAACTCCTGGTCAGACACAGGAGGACTGTGGGTTCAGAAAAACGGCCAAGCTGAGGGTTGCCGTGAAGCTCCAAGGAGAGCAAATCCATCAATAAGCACAAGACCCACCAAGGTAGAGCAGGAACTTTGCCACACAGGATTGGCTATAGTATTGTCTGTGGTGTAAGATCTAGGGTACCAATTGATCTGTGGTAAGTGCCTGGTCTCTTGGAACTGGAAGCAACCTACAATTTGTGAGATTTTTTTTTTTGTGAAAGTGACCATTTATCACTAAGTCCAGATTGTTTGGGTGGCAAGATAGACCGGAGAGTCTTAGGGGTCTGTCTGTGACTCCATGGTAAGCCTATTAGCTTGATCAAGGAGTTCATATTTGTTTCTGGCTTGGTGAAATCTAATTATAGAACATATCACCAGCTTGGGGTGTCTCTCCTGTTCGGACAGACTGCCCTGAGGTAGGCACTCCCAGTCATACGCCACTCCAGACGGTGTGACAATCAGTTTGAGGGATTGTGAGGCCTATCTAGAAAATTAAATGGCAATATGCCAAAGTTTTGCTGTGGGGTTGTTGGTTACTGTAAATATGCTGATTAGAGGCTGAAGAGGGATTTACAGGACGTTCTTTTTCATTTCTGTATTATTTAAGAATTGTCAAACTTATAGACAGGAATAAGAAAAGGAGTACTTGTGGCACCTTAGAGACTAACCAATTTATTTGAGCATGAGCTTTCGTGAGCTACAGCTCACTTCATCAGATGTATGGAATAGGTGCCCTTTTTCACAGATGTGAATATAAATCAAAATAAATATATACAATCAAGCACATAGTTATTGATTGTTTCCAGGTTTAAAATCAGAAATCACACTTCCGCCAAGGTATGAATCAGCTAAACAAAATAAGCTCAAAATACAAACAATACGCCAACTGTCCAAAAAATCCTGTGGTGGTGTGCTGATGTGTGGTGGGGCAGGGAAAGAAAAATACTTCCCTCCACTCTGTAGAGCAGCTGTTGAACTGCTCCACAAAGGTTACTGCAGCCCAATGGCCAGGACACTTGTGCAGCTCCTATGCAGGAAAGGTGTAGGAGCAGAGATAGGAGGTTCCTTGCCAGAAAATCTGGTGTTACCTCTCCTTATCACTGAACAGGGGGCTCATGCAGGACAAGGTTCCATGCCACTCAGGGACTGCACATGGACTCTTCTTTGCTATGGAGAAGTGGGCTGGATTTGCCCCTTAGTGATTCTAGGGTCAAATCAGTATCACCACTAGGTTTATTCTTCACTAGTACATTCCAAGTCAGTGAAATCTTCTGGCTCTATAGCTAAAACTAAGTTGGTGCTGTCTTCTGCTGAGCAAACTGGAATGGGTACAAACATGGACATTCTTCCTTCTTTATCTGAAAATAAACAGATCAAGGTTTAAAAGTATATACAAAAGATACAGTAAGCAGGAAGAAATGAACAGCAGGCACAATTAAAACACAGCTCCAGCTGGCACCCCAGCAGTGTTAATGAAAGGTAATGAAAAACCCTATTGTCCTAACACACAGAGTCTCAGACTTCAGTCGGGATACTCTGGTGGCTAGGGTGCACTTCCATGTGGTCGGCAGATCTGTCAGTGTTCAAAAAGAGATGCTTCCTGTTAATAGTAACCCAGTCCAGTACTCTCAGAGAATTATCAGTGGCTTTACTGACTAATTAAAGTAAAACATAATTAGTACCTATGTTAAGGCTGTATGGTTGTTTCATGTCTTTCTGTGACAGAACTTTCTCTGGCATAATTTCAGTTAAGAGTGAAACCTGCATACCACAATCTACCAACTTTTATTTCAAAGAAAGAAAGAAAGAAAGAGAAAATAAAGTCTCCATGGGAAAAAGAATACAGTGATTATATCTGAATGGAACAATAAAATAGTAGATACTTCAGAGTTGCTTCTGCAACAAGCTGGCATTTCCTCATATATTTAAAGGTTCAGTACCCAGAGAGTAAATGAGTGAATGAATTAATCTCCTGACAGTAAAATAACTATATACACATCTATTCCTCATTGATTCAATAGCCATTTGAACAACTAGCTCTGTCAGACAAAGTCTCTCTTGGGGGGGAAAAACAATGCTGTTTTCCTAAAAAGAGAAGTGTTTGTTGTCACAGCTCAAACCGCATCTTCAACCACAACTGGAGTTTTTTCTTGGTTACCACAAGTGGTTTTGGAGGAAATGGAGTAACATCCTCCACAAGGACGATGAGGGAAACATGGTCCCCCTTACACTCTCCCATTTTTTTTTACTATACCATTGATGTCCTCTTTCAATGTGGCTACAATAATCATACATTCTCACTTCAGGTCTCCACCAATTATATTTATGTGGCAGCAACTATGATGTTCTTGCTCTTCATATGTTGTGTCACTTAGATTCTATCTTCTCTGAGATCTGAAAATGTGAGATCTGAACAAAAAGACATTTATATTAAGATCTGCACTGGCCTTTGATTTTATTTGTTCTTGTGGCCAAATCACTTATCTCTTGGTCTGCTGGAAAAATTAAAAAACATTACTCTGCCACGTGTAGCAGTTATCTTGAATTCCTGTTTTAAAAAAATTACACAGTCATGTAGGGCTTTAACACATTTTGATAAAGTTCACTTTATCATTAGAGTAATGGGAAAAAACAAAGTGAAAGGAAATTTGGCTCAATAAAAAAAAATCCTCAATGAGTTTCCAAAGGGATGTAATGGAAGTCACTTTAGGCATTTAAAACTAGACTTGACAAAGCATTCAAAATATTCTATGAGTAGGTCCCTACCAAATTCACAGTCTATTTTTGTAAATTTCACGGTCATAGCATTTTAAAAATCTTCAATTTCACGGTTTCAGATATTTAAATCTTAAATTTCACATTGTTGTAACGAACATGAATGGTATTTTACAACAGCAAAATATAAACATGTAAAGCCCTTAAGAGTCCGTGTTTCTCAAACTGGGGGTCCTGACCCAAACGGGAGTTGCAAGGCTATTGTACGCGGGTCACGGTATTGCCATCTTTAATTCTGTGCTGCCTTCAGAGCTGGGTGGTCGGAGAGCAGTGGCCGCTGGCCGGCTGCCCAGCTCTGAAAGCAGCACTGCCGTTAGCAGCAGCACAAAAGTAAGGGTGGCAATACTGTGACCTTCCCCCCCCCCCCATAGCCTTATGAACCCCTTTTGGGTCGGGATCCCCAGTGTTAGAAATGCAGTGTAATTTTGTATATTTTTACCCTATAGTATAGGGTACTTTTATAGTATAGAGTAAAAGTATGCAAAAGACCAGATTTCATGGGGGAGACCAGATTTCGTGGTCTGTGATGTGTTTTTCATGGTGTGAATTTGGTAGGGCCCTATCTATGAGACAATGCAATGCAGGGAGACTGATTTTAATATTAAACAGGCTTCTCCACCTCTATTCTCTGTGTTTTCTTTAATTTTATTTATAATTTCAGATTAATTCTGACATTTAATTCACAACCAATGACAAGTCATAAAAGATTTTGTGCAAATTAATAACCAGAATTCATAGAATCATAGAAATATAGGGCTGGAATGGATCCTGAGAAGTCATCAAATCCAGCCCTCTGCACTGTGACAGGACCAAGTAAACCTAGACCATCCCTGACAGGTGTTTGTCCAAGTTTTTCTCAAAAACTTCCAATGATGAGGATACTTCTTGGAAGACTATTCTAGATCTTAACTACCCTTTTAGTTAGAGCGTGTTTTTTCTAATACCTAAATCTTCCTTGGTGCAAATTAAGCCCATTACTACTTGTCCTACTTAGTTCCAACTGGCTCCTGTAGAGCTACTTACCTTAGAACTTTGTCGTGTGCGTCTTTAAAAAAATTAAATTAAATTAGTCTGAGCAACCATTGCTTGGGGGGTGTCCGTTATAGAGACAGTCAAGGTGCAGTCTTTTTTGTGCGGTCACCAGCAGCTGTAAAGAAATTAAAGACTAATAACATCTAGTCATTTACATTAAACATCGTGTTCCTGAGTTCCAACATCTTACCTTTGGGACTAGTCTGAGGGCTCTCACCTTCAGGTCCCATTACTTCAGCTTCCACATCCCATGAGCCCGTGGATCACCTGTGAAGACAAATGCATCTTAACCTCATTCCTGTTGGTTAAGAAAACCTAGAGACAGCAAAGTATCTTGGAGTATTCTTTTGTTGTCTTTTGTTTAGTTGTTGCAAAGGTTTTGGTTAGTTCGGGCCTAAGTTTTATACTCACCTCTGTTAAACCACAACTCACTTGTTATTTGGTTATGGTTCATGATTTTTTTCTGTTCCTGTTGTTATTGCCCTTAAATAAATCTGTTGTTGTTGTTTTGGAAAAATCCTCTATCTCTTTTGTCCACTACACCACACAAGGGAGGTGGGAGGCGCACCAACTTCTATCTAACCCCAGGTGATAGATCCTGAGGGGTGAAAACATCCTGCTGCTGAAACCAGAATTGTAGCTGGCGTATTTACTCTGAGTTTCAGGTTAACAACTGGATATAAGCAGTGTTCCCTCTAATTTTTCCCACACATGTGAGGAATGAATTTTGTTAAGTGCACCAATATGGAGGTGATGTGTGACCTCCATATTGGTGCACATAAGAAAATTCATGTGGTGGGGGTGGGGCCGATGGGGTTTGGAGTGTGGGAAGGGGCTCAGGGCTGGGGAAGAGGGTTGGGTTGGGGTGGGAGTTAAGGCTCTGACTGGGAGTGCAGGCTCTGGGGTGGGGCCACAGATGAGGGGTTTGGGGTGCAGGCTGCCCTGGGGCTATGGCAGGCAGAGAGGATTCCCCCGAGCTCTCTCTCCTCACAGCAGCAGCTGGGCTGTGGGGAGAGGTGCCTCTCCCTGCCGTAGCAGCTCCGGAGGAGGTGGGGGTGCAGGGCGGCAGGATAGGCACCCTTCCCCCATCAGGTCTGGGCAGGGGCCGGGTTTGGGCCGGGGGCCGGGTTAGGTTGGGGCCAGAGGAGGGGTGCCTTTCTCCCAGCCACAACAGGTCAGGAGAAAGGCAGGTTCCCTGAGTGCCTGCACGGTGCTTAATAGGCTTACAGGGAACTTAGAATATAAGACTGATCCCTGATGAACCCCACTAGATACACCCTCCCAGTTTGATAGTAAACCATTGATAACTATTCTTTGAGTACAGTCTTCCAACCAGTTGTGCACCCACCCTATAGTAATGTCATCCACACCATATTTCCCTAATTTGCCTACAAGAATGTCATGTGGGACTATGTCAAATGCTTTACTAAGTCAAGCTATACCTTACCACAATCAAGATATTAATAGATACGTTTTGTTTACAAAGGTAAGTCCACTAACAAGAAATAAAAAATTACTAAAATTTCACATTTATAAAATAGGCCTACAAAAATAACTGAACTTGCTCATATTGAAGAATGTATGTCATGGTGTTATGTGATGGGCACTTTTATAAGTAGGTTCAAAAAACAAATACATTTGCATGACTCTAAGAACAGCCACCAGTTCCCACAAATAGTGACAGAGTTGTAGTCACTGTCACCAGTGACCCACTCAGCTTGAATCTTAAGAGGACAAGGGAGAAATCCAGAACAAAGCCCAGGAGAAACAGGAATAGAACTTTTCAGGAAAAAAAATCTAAGGTTCAGAAGCCCACCTGGGCAATATATAAAACAGCAATCCCCCTAAGAGCTTTTCTCAGGAGCCTTGCAACCTCTTAAAACAGTAGCTCATAATTCTGGTTGGTGACCTAGCAGGAGGAGATTTATTTGGGACTGGGGAACAGCAGCTCTTTGTTGTTGGTGCTGCAAATGCCATTACAAGAGACAAAAAAGTGATTCCCTGGCCAATTATTGATATTTTCTATCCCAGTACTATGACAATGCTGCAGGAACAGAAGAGCGTTTTGCATAAATAATGGGATTCACACAATGATAGTCACTTCTCCCCACCTATCTACTACAATTAAAAGAGTAAGCAAGATCCTTTGGGTGAGGACCCTATAATAACAGAAGTGGAATATTGGAATTTGAAGGTTCTCTAACAGTTCGGAATGATTGCTGGACAGGGGAAGAAATAATGCCAGTAGCCCAGGACGCTCGGGTGTGGGAATGGATGGAAGAAATACAGGAAGTGAGGAACAGTCAATAGGAAGCGGGGAAAATGTGACAACAGTCAGGGTGAACAAGGGACAATACAAAAGATGAATCTGCCCAGGTTTTAATGGCCGGAGGTTTGTCAAATTCCCAGTACATGGTCTGACCAGCAGTAAAGCCAGGTTTATAAATTTATCTACAGTAGCTATTGGCTACAAAATAGTGCACTATTTGTAAGACAAAAACAGCTGCAGTAGCTTGTAAAGTATTTCCATGTCTGATCATTTGTGTATATTTTCAGTCAATGTAATGCTGCCAATGTTCTAATAAGGGGCTTCCACTAAAATGTTTCTCTCAGCATGTGTCCTCTTCTTACACAGAAGAGGGATGAGGAACTGCAGTATTTATATAATAAAATTCCAGGATCACCTGTCTGCATCACTCTGAAGCCTAGAATGTCTGTTGAGTCAGTGTGAAGTGAAGGAAATAAGCCATTAGTACTAGCTAAGAGGAAAGTTCCTTTGCCTCAAAGGGCCTGTGTTTCAGAGTCTAACATCCCATTATCCTACTTCCTGCCCTCCACATGTGTGATTTATTATAGAGTTGTAATAGCCTCTCTACATTTAGGGTTGTATACATTTCCCAGTAAAATCCTATTTTACCCACACTACAACTTTGGTTTGGGAAATTAGATTGGCTTGAAAATTTGCCAGATGTATGCTGGAAAGAGAATTTTCCTACAATGAAAGAAAAAAATTCATAGAATTTTTAAGTTACAGGTCACTACAAAATTACCTTGCATTAAATTTTTTATTTCTATCTAATGTTCCTTTTCTCCCTTTCACTCAAAACCAATACCCCTTCAAATACTCCATAAAGTAAAACCTCCTTGAAAAGTCATACACCAATTATAGATAATGAAAATAGTTTACAACTAAGAAAATGTATCAATCACACTCCAGTTAATTTTAATGGGACTTAAGGATCAAATCTCTCTCCCTTGCTCCTTGGAGTTGTTGGGTTTTTGCTGTTGTTGTTGTGCATGCTATTGGCATCAGTGGGAGCAAAATCAGGCACCCTGGGTTTGATTTACAGAGAAGCTGAACATCCGCAGCAATTGTTGACTTCAGAGACAGTTGCCAAATCAGGCCCCAAACCTGTGTGTGAATGTTACCTGCAACTGTCACATTGCAGATTAGAACCAACATAAGGATATTTCTATAGCAGAGAGCTAATACAGAGCTTCATTAGAAGAAGTGGCAGAAGTCATCAGCAACCCAGGTTCCCACACCACATACCCTCCCAGGCCATTTGCAACCCAGGCACCTCCCCATCCCTTGACACCCCGGGGGCATTTGCAACCCAGGCTTTCCCCATCCCCTGCCCCCCAGGCCATTTGCAATCAGGTTCCACCATCCCCTAACCCCTCCCCGCAGATCATTCACAATCCCGGTTCCTTCATCCCTTGGCCCCTCCCCCCAGCCATTCACAACCCAGGGCTTCCTCATCCCCAGGCCATTTGCAACCCAGGCTTTCCCCCAGGCCATTCACAACATATGGCTTCCTCATCCCCAAGTGATTCTCAGCCCAGGCTCCCCCATCTCTTGCCCGCTCCCCCCAAGCCATTCGCCACACCATTTCCCTCTCCCATGCCTTCTGCAACCAAGCCCCCCATCCCTTGCTCCCCAGGCCATTCGCAAACCAGGCTCCCCCCATCCCTTGGCCCCCACAGGCCACTCACAACTCCGGGCTCCCCCCGCCCCGCCATTACCAACCCAGGCTTCCCCACTTTCTGTGCACCCACCCAGGCATTAGCAGCGCAGCAGGCTCCCCGCCCAACCCAGCCCATTGGCATCCCTGCAAGCGCCTTAGTGCCCAAAGCAAGAGCCCGGCACCGCCCTGGGTCCCTCTCGGTCGGCCGGCCGCTCCCGCCCCGCCGCACAGGCAGAGCAGGTCGGACCAGGCGGCGGGGCAGGTATTTAAGGGGAAGGTGAGGGCGGCGCCGCTCACTAGCGGCACCAGCTCCCCGCCAGCCAGGCGCGGCCCAGCACAGGGGTTGCAGGCGGGGCCGGGCTCCGTCAGCGTGTGGCGGCAGCGGCGGCGGCAGCGGCAGCGGCGCAAGTCCCGGCCTCCCCTCTCGCTCCGGTGCCGTGTGGTCTCGCCCGCCCCCGCTGCCATGTTGGATTGTGCGGCCGTGGGAGCCGGGGCGAAGTTGGAAGTTTAGTGCTGGTCCGAGCGGGTGGGGGCGATCGGGCCGCGGGAGCCGGTGCTGCCCCGCCCCGCCGCTGGGCTGCCGGGCGCCGCCAGCTGCCCCCCGAGGAGAGGAGACTCCGCGATGCGGCCGCTGTGAGGCCGCTGGGCCAAGGGACGCGGACGGCGAGAGGCGAGGGCACCGCGGAGCCCCGGCGGCCGGCCCCGGCCATGAGCAACAGCCAGCAACAGCAGCCCCCGCCGCCGCGGAGGGTCTGCAACGTGGGCTCGCTGCTCCTCACCCCGCAGGAGAACGACAGCCTCTTCGGCTTCCTGGGCAAGAAATGCGTGGTGAGCCCCGGGCGGCGAGGGCAGAGCGCGGCCCGGGGCAGCGGCGGCAGCCCCTGGGGAGGAGCCGAGCGCAGGGCCGGGGGCCAAGGGCTCGGGCGGGGTCATTCATCCACCCCGAGAGGGGCCCGGCCCTGCCCGGTGGGCTGCCTGTGCTGGGTGGGGGCAGTTCCCTGCCGCGGCCTTTCGCCGGGCCCCGTGGGCAGCTGCCTGGCCGAGGTGCTCCCCCGTGTCCCAGGGCGCTGGCCCGAGGAGGCACAGGGACAGCTCGCTCCCTGGGCGGCCTGGTGTCTCGCCCAGAGCGGCCCGGTGCCCTGCTCAGGGGGTTTCCTGCCTCTCGCGGGGAGAGCAGGGGGAAGGGGCGTGAGGAATGAATGAAGCTGGGGAGAGGGGCCGCCGCCTCCTAGGGCGCAGGTGACTGGGCGCTTCTTTGCCTCTCCCTGGGCTCTTGAAGTAGGAAACGCCGCTGCTCTGCTTCCCCCGAGCAGAGCACGGAGGGCTCGTTTCCCCGAAATTCTCCGCCAGGCCTCGCCCTCTCCCCCCCTGTTGGCTCCTGGGATGCTGCCATGCGCAATGTAGCCAGCGTCTACGCCTGCTGGTTCTGGAGGACTCGGGAGTTGGGCCAGATTTAGGGACTTCAACTGCTGAGGAGCTGGGAATGTCATTATGGGAGAGGGGCAGGGGTATTAATTACACTGGCCTGGGTGGTGCAGATCTGCTCAGACCTGCTTTTCCAACCGCTGGTCTCCGAATGCTGTGGGCAGCTCAGTTCCTCCTCCCCTCTCCCTCTACCTGCTGCTGAGTACTTCTGTAGGTATGTGTGATGAGGGCTTGCCCAGTATGCAGTGCAGCTAATCTCTGACTTGGTATGGGAGCTAGTCAACAATAGAGCTATTGCAGCTTCCGGTAGAAAAGTTTAATTAGTTGACAAGGTTGAACAAATCTGGCCAGATTGCACCTGCAGTAGGACAAAGCTGAATTCATAAAGCTACAGGAAAACTGTTAGCAGAGTTGGGTCTAACTTGTTTTTAGCTCGTCTGTTCACATGAATTTGTTAGCCCGAACAATGGATTCAGACTTGCCGATGCAGTAACTCCATTGCTGCGTTCATCCAAAAATACAATAAAAAGATTTTAAAAGCCATTCGTATACCTGGTTCTAGCCACCTTAATTAGTTTCAGGTTTCTTAAATGACATCTTGTATTCTAAAGGTAGAGGATAAGCTGCTTTGGGGCTGCAAAAATGGAAAAATTACTGTTCAGATCTTTGGCAAAGAGGAATCAGATCTATGGAATACTCCTCATAATTTTTGAAGATTTTCAGAATCAGCCCTTGTTAATCTGGTATAAAACTCCTTGATAGGCTACAGCATAGTGTGGTACATTGACTTGATGCTATTCTTTGTCATGTGCCTAGAACATCAGTAATAGGCACCTAATATTTTTATAATTTATATTATATTTTATTGTATGTATGGTTTATATTATAATGTAATACTTATTTTTAAATAGTGTATCATGCACAAGTCTTAGCAGAAGTCACAAAGGTTACATATTTTAAGTGAGGTCTGATCAAACTGACTAATTTCTAAATTGTAAGGGAAGTATGGGAAATATGGTGATTGAACTGGAAGTATGCAATATTTGCATGCAGGCAGACTACATAAAATTATATTATAGTAATTAAATTACTATTACCTTATTCTAGGTGTTTAGATGGTTCAAAATGTGTTGTCATAAAGCATGAAAAGGAATAGGAAAGATGAGAAGATTTTGAGGGTAAATTTAGGGCCAGCTTCACCCAACTACTTGAGCTACTCACTAAATTGCACTATAGTAAATTATGCTTAAACATGTTTTGGAGGTCTAGAAATAAGATTTGATCAGGTCAGTGAATTCATATATGCTTGATTACAGAAGAAAACTTAGTGGCTTGGCTTAAAAAAAAAATACGAATTACTCTTTAAAAACAAAAAAAGAGATACTTCCTGGGGGAGAATTGTTTGTTTACACGCCATTCTACTACATCTAAGACTTTCTAGCCAAGCTAACAGTTTTTGTCTGATCTGGTACTCTAATCATTGAGATTTAATACTTTGCTCTCCTATAATGCTTTCTCTGAGGCACTCAGAACTCATAAACACTGATGAATTAAGCAACTTCTGAGGTAATCACCACTATTCACATTTTGCAGACAAACTGAAACACAGGTAGGTTTCAGAGTAACAGCCGTGTTAGTCTGTATTTGCAAAAAGAAAAGGAGTACTTGTGGCACCTTAGAGACTAACCAATTTATTTGAGCATAAGCTTTCGTGAGCTACAGCTCACTTCATCGGATGCATACTGCGGAAGTGAAGAAACAGTGAAGAAACAAAGCTTATGCTCAAATAAATTGGTTAGTCTCTAAGGTGCCACAAGTACTCCTTTTCTTTTTGTGAAACACAGGTAGTTATTTGACGGTCTCAGGATGTCAGTGCCGATGGCAGCTCTTCTGGGTTGACTTTGTAAACCATGGTGGCCAAACAACACTGGATTTATCCCATCTTTTCTTAGATTCTGTTCATATTTGTGGCATACTCTGAATCTTGTTGTTTAATTTGGTTGAAGATTTTAGGAATTCAAGAAAGATTATGCTTTTATTATGGTCTGAGTAGTAGGACTGCCTAGAAAACAGGAGTTACATTTTGAAAAAAACAATTGAGGTTTCAGCATTTGTTTTTGTTCTGTATCAGAATGAAAACTAGGCCTAAATTTTTTTTGTAGAAAAAAATCAGACTCCACCCTGGAATAGCCAAGAGGCCAGTGGTTAGGGCACTGACCTGGGATAATAGTCTTGAATATGGGCCTCCTGCTCTAAATTAGGCAGAGCAGGCACCTGAACCTGGGTTTCCCACACCCAATTGAGTTCCCTAACCATTAGGCTCTGTGTGCATGTTTTTTGCTGGTTGTGACCAGAAGTACCATCCTGGATCTATCTGCAAGACATTTTTGACAAAAAATTTGTCAAAACAATACATTTCCACAGAATTTTGGTTTTGACAAATCAGCATTTTCTGATGAAAAAAACGTTTCATCTAAAAATTCCCAGCTAGCTCTACTGACCACACAGCACACTCCAGTCTGCAATTAGGTACACCTTAATTATTGTTGTAGGGACCTGTAACTAAAGTCTGCCTATGGAATCTTCTGGATTAGAGTCTTCAGATACCTTGAGTGTAGTGCTCTGGGGGCATTAGGACCATCCAGTATTCCACAACCATCATCCTTAACGCTGTCTCCTCCTGTATCATCCTCGCAAATTGCTGTGCTATGCATCTATATGACAGGTGAAACATAAGGCAGACGCTAGAGTACTAGTGACCTGACAGGCTTCAACGTCAGAGTATTTAAAGTTGTGTGCTGTGCTGATGCATGCTTTCTTCTCTGTAACATACATGGTATTTCTTCACTTTTCTAGTTGGTGAGCACTTGCCATTTTCTGCAGACAATCAAGTATTTCTCACTATGACAAGTTAACCTAACTTCTTGAGATCTGAAATAACTTGGATTTAGACTGGATTGACTGTGCACATGAGTTTGCGTTCAGGTCCAAGTCTGGATGGGACATATGTCACTAGTCTGTTTTTACCAGTTTAGCTCACTAATACGTTGTACTGGATGTTCTGTCAGACTTCAAGCTATTACTGTTACTTGGACCTGTTTACACAGCTAGTAAAATCAAACTAAGAGGTATGGGATGCATTGCTGGTAGGGAACGTCAGCGTCACCCTAAACACTCTTTTATATTAGTAATAGATTTAGGGCTAATCTACATGCGACAGCGCTTTAACGTAGCTTGTGTAGTCGTGGCAGAGCTCTGGGAGACAGCTTTCTGAGTGCTCTAAAAAACCCCTGCCTCCCCAAGGAGCGTGGCTACCAGTGCTGGTGCACTGTCTGCACTCGCACTTTACAGTGCTAAAACTTGCTGCGCTCTTTTCACACCCCTGAGCGAGAAAGTTGCAGCGCTGTAAAGTGCCAGTGTAGACAAGCCCTTAGACACTACTGCTGGGGAGAACATGGTGCTGACATCTCAAATATGTGGGTGTATCTGTGTCCTCATTACCGTTGTTTGATATTGACTCTTGTGCTAAACTTTCAGCTGTAAAGGTCTAACACACCTCTTTGGGACAGATTTATTAAAGAAAGTGGTAGGCAAAATAAGTGTAGTGTCACCTGGAGGGTTTCAGCCCATGCTAGCATATAGGCACAAAGATGGCTTTTGGTTGATTATCTCTTCCAAGTGATAAAGGTAGGGTGTCCATATTGAGGTCTTAGATTTGTTGGTAAATTTGGTAATGTTGACCCTTTCAGGATGGTATGGCATGGGACCCTGAGCAATTGCCCTGCTTGCTACCCCCTAATGCTGACCCTGGCTTTTATATGCAGAAAAACAGTTGTGACACAGGTGGGCTGTGGAGTTTTTATAGCATTTTGGGGGGGCCTCAGAAAGAAAAAGTTTGAGAAAAAGTTTGAGAAAAGTTAGACCATCTCTGACAGGTGTTTGTCTAACCTGCTCTTAAAAATCTCCAATGATGGAGATTCCACAACCTCCTGAGGCAATTTATAGTTAACAAATATTTAAATTGACACTCGATTTCAGCGTTAACATCCCATTGAGATGAATTGTGTAATTAAGAACTCTTATAGCTGTTTTGTGCTGTCTGATCAAACTCTTTAAGACAGCTCTCCATGGGCTTATGTTCAGTTCGAGTTTGTAAGATTTCCTCTGCAACTGAAAGAGCTAAAAGCCTTTTAAAATGATACCTTCTTATCACACAGCTGCAAGTGTGGGTTCTGTGCTTACTCCACAGCCATAGAATATGTACGGCCCTTCCTACATATATTTCAAAACTTTCTAATAGATTGAACCAGTGCATTCAAGAGTTTATTACAAGGCAATGAAGCACCTTACATTTTCTTCATATTCTGTCCAAATAGAAAGCAACAGAGTCTGCAGAAAAGAAC